TGTGCCAACCCCACACCCCACACCCCACACCCACAACCTGAAGGGTACTGGAGGGAAATTTGGTTTCAGGTTAGAATCATGCCAACTATACAGAGGCCAAGATCCTGGACTCTCCAACGGCAGCACTGCTGAGTCCAAATTCCATGCACCTGGCTGGGCCATGCCAGCAGCAGGGAGGGGGGCCTTTCTTCCAATGGGAGGAGTCAGGATGCAGGTGGGAAGTTCTGCAGGAAGTTCTGCTTCTCTGAGTTACCTCTGAGCCACATCTCCTAGACAGTAGTGGTGAACCTATGATGTGCATGCCAGAGCAGGCTATTTGTATCATTGAAAGCTCTAAAAGGTTCACCATCACTGTGGAGCTAGATAATTCTCCTCAATATCATTGCTTAAGTGGAGTCGGACATTTCCACCTCCTTTTACTAGTTGATGATGTACACTGACGTGCCATTTTGTCACAGATGAGGCAGTCACTTGGTGAAGTCTGCTGCCTCTGCTCACGTCTTGGCATTCCACTTCCCAGAAAAGCACACAGCTTTCCTTCCAGGAAACCAGTACTGAATGCAGACCTGAATGGCAAGGCTTAGCCAGCCTGGGCAGGCTTTCAGAGCCTCCCTCCTCCCCGAGGCTGGCTAAGCAGCCCTCATAACCACATGGGCACAGCCTTTCCTGGGCCTTGACCATGCACAATGATGCAGGGAAGACACTGCAAGCACCAGCACCAGGCAGCACTTCCCTTTAACCAGGGAATTATAGTCGCTAGGAAGGGGCTGCCTGACCAAGACAGAGCACTCACCACTGTTCACCAGCCTGTCAGGTTGGCAGATGTGTCCTTTGACAAAAGACAATGACTACCCAGGCTGAGACTTGCAACTGGCAACCTGTAATTCTTTCATTATGCTCTAGAGGGGCTGCTGCTGTCTCCTCTGGATGTGGGAGTGACAGGGTGATTATCATTTATTGTGTCAATATTGTGAGGGAGGAGAAGACAGTGCTTCTAGGGGGACACAGCATGTGTCTATCATCCTTGCTCTGCCATCCAGAAGCACACAGGTGTAGGACAAGCATGCTGGGGAAGCCTCCTGGAATGCTGGGGTCAAGAGAGGTCTCCCTAGATGTTTGGAACAGTGGCACAGTGCCACCTGCTGAACATGGGCTTGGAGTCGGTGCATACACACCAGATCCAGTTCCAATAGCCACCTCCAAGGAGGAGCAGACAAAGAGCTCAGAGAGTGTGTACAGGGAACTGGCTGTGGGAATGTCAGGGCAGGGCGGCCAGCCATCTGTCCTTCTCTGGAGAAGGACACTGGTGGCTCTGGTCAGCTTGGAAAAGGCAAAGCTCCTGGGCATCGCAATGATGCAATGCATCTCCCAGAGTGCCCTTAGAGGAGCTACCGGGCTCCGATGCTACGCTTACACAGTAGTACCCTCCAAGAGCTCAAATTTAGGACTGACTACGTGGCCAATCACATAAAGATGGTCTTTAAATGGTGAGTTCCTGTCCACGGTGAGGTTTAGGAAATGCTGCAGATTTGGCTTTCTCTTGGAGATTCCCACTGTGTATCTGATGGATAAAGGCAAAGAAATCTTGGTGCGAGGAGACCTACTTCACTGTGTTTGCCATACATTTTCCACATCTGTTTCTCTACTGAGCCCAAGGAACCTGAAGTCCAAACTAGGAAATGCTGCCTTAGGAGGTTTGTCCCATCCTTGTAGAAGCCTCCTTGTTAGGAGTTTCTTTTAGCCATTGCAGAACCTGGAAAGAAAAGCCTAGCCCAGCCTCCAGGGGAGGTTCTGGCAAGCACAAAGCATGACTCCGGGGTCCACAGATGAGCTGAGATTTGATGAGCCTTGATGCCTTGGCCCTAAAGGAAGACACAGGAGCAGTGTGCAGAACATGTGTGTGAGCATGCCCATGTGTGTGCTGGTGTAAAGTTGTGATCTCCATAGTAGAAACCCAAATCTGCTCCCTAAGGCCAGGACACAGTGGAGGGACAGGGTGGGGCAGGGCCCCTCGGAGGACATGGGTGCCAGGACTCCTGTCAGGTCCCAGGCTCCACACTGACTCAACTGCAATTCCTTTGTCCCCCTGCACTGCCATGACTGACTGGCAGCCACCTGGGGCAAGGTTTGATACTATAAGGCATCTTTCCCTGACAGTCATCCACCTGGCATGATGCTGAGTGCTTTCGGTAGATCACCCCACTGAACCCTCATGGTGACCCAAGAGGAAGTGGTGTCAACATCCTCGTGTGGCACATGGGAAGCCTGAGGCTCAGGGAGGTCAAGTATCCTGTCCCAGGTCACATATGTACCGGCCAGAACCCCAGCATGTGGCCCCAAGTCATTTTCCTCGATGCTGCAAACCAGTTTACCTAACGCAGGCACCACGTAGTCTCCATCAACATGGGTTTGCTCCAAAGCAAACCCCACACTGGGGTGAAGAGAGAGGCAGGCCTTAGGAACAGGTTCTTTTATTTCCGGCTAATTCATTAGAATATCAGCTCTTTCTCTGTGACAGTGGAAATATTCCAGGGTAACCCTGTGTTATATCCTGTTATCAAATCTGTAAGAGCAAAGAAGATATTCTCAGTGTATTTTCTGGTGACATTCATTACCCCAAGCATCCTAATTCTTTTTCTTCCTCTAATCATTTTAATGCATATGTCAGTCGCACCCCATGATGACTTCATTTTTATACTTTCTTTCTCTTGTTCAGCCATGACTTCAATTAAAGGCAGATTAAGTAGGGCATGAATTCAGGCAATTAAACATTCACTAGACACCGGCTGAGTGAGAGTCACTGTGTCAAGCATATTAACCTGAGACTTTGGTGCGGAATTGATGGGGTCAAGGCCTCCTTCTCTGCCGCTTCTCCTCGGCCACATGGAACTCACTTAGCACCTCCCGGGGTGAGAGCCAGGCCTGAGATCTGCCTCTGTCTTTTGACAGAGCGCCTCTAGTAGGCCTGACTTCCTAGATCAGGAAGGCAGCCAAGCTGCGGAGTGGGAGTGGCCACCTGGACCCCTGGGTGGAGAACCCTGGTCCCACCAGGGTGTGGCTCAGTGGAGGCAGTGCCATCTGGTCCAGTGCTCTCTTACGAAGGCCCGGGGTAGTTCAGAGGCCTGCATGTGCCAAGAATGCTCTATTCTTGTCCTACCACAATTTCAAGGACAAAGAAACAAGGCATGGAGACAAAAAATAAGCCCTAAAGCTTCTGGCTGAGTGGTAACATTGGTGAACTTAAAAAAACAATGCAACTGTTAGGCTAGGCAAATTCCTCTTGTGTACCTGATCACTCAGGGCAAAGGGCTGATAGTTTGACTCCAATGTGGGGGAAAAAATAAGTCAGCTTTGATGGTCAGAGCAACATGTTAGACAAGGGAGAGGAATCTGGCCTGGTGGTTGAGCCAGACAAGTGCCATGTTTCCTTTAAGCTTTAGTAATTTCTGCAAGTGAATGCTTCTGCTGGAAACCATGGGTCTCCTGCCCTGGCCTTGTAGCAGCAGGTCCCTTCGATGAAGCATTCTGGTTGGGCAGGGCATCCTGTGACAAACAATGGCCACACAATGGTAGGATGAGCGGGAAAGTTTGTCCGATTCGGTTCAGTCAGTGTTTCTGTCAATCCGTGTAATTGTGCTCTTTTTGAATTAAATTTTAATTTCGAAAGCAGTACATCCACCTTGTAATAAAAAGAACAGTACGTCTTTCCTGATGACCATCCCTAATCCCAATCCCTTCTCTCCTTCGCCAGATTTCGCCACCCTTACTGGTGTGAAGTTCACTTCTCTAGGCCTTCTGTGAAATTTTGGACATAATCTGTACCAGCAAAACATAACATATCACAGAACTTGTTTTGCAACGAAGTTCACAAAGATGATATCATCATATGGAGAACATTCTTCAACCTGACATTTCTTAGTAATAGGTCCTCGAGAATTTTTTATGTTAGAAAACATTAACTCTACAACATTGTTGAATTGCTGCAAAATGTTTCACAGTTGGAGGATGCAACCACTTTATTGATTCCCCTATTTTGCATAGCTAGGTTATTTCCAAACTTTTCACCCTGACAGATAATATTCCCATGAACTCCCTTGCACAAAGCCTTTGTTGGCGTGTGTATTTGATCCCACGAAGTTGAGGGCATGATCTTTACTAACTGCTCCTTAGTTGTCCCAAGCGTCACAAGCGTTGCCTTTCACATCAGTTCTGGGTATGAAGAACCTGTGCTCCAACATCCTTATCAATAGCTCATGCGCCTTCATGCAATGAGCTCCTGTCTCTGTGCCTCCCGCTCACCTGGGAGAGAGCCCGACCAAGTCACCCTTGTCTTAGTATCTGAGGTCCCTGAGAGACTGAGCCTGCTCCATCCTAGGTGCTCAATTAATATGTTCTTTAACTGGAGTCACTTTGCTCTTTGGGGATGCTGTCCTTTTCCTCCCACGCCTACTCACCCGATAACTGTCTTGTCTGGGCCCCAGGCTGTGCCTTCTCTAAACCTCAGGCTGAGTGATGCTGTTCTTTGTGTCCATATTTCCCCTCTCTGTGCCTTTGATGCGTTTTCTCTGTTTGTCTATTTGCCTGTCCTCCTGAGACCCGGCCAGGACACCAGGGACTGTGGCTTTTCGGCTTTGTGTGCCCCCTATCACAACCCTAGCACACAGAGTAGGCCTCCCATGAGAGATTTCCAAATGAAGGCCACTGTCACAGACCCACATCCACATGGAACAAATGCCTGTACAAACAAACAGAGATGGGCCGAAGGAAAAATTAAGCTGTCATTCTGCTGAGCTGCAGAGATTTCGTCTCCTTATTTCAGGTCTTTTAATGTGATGGAGCGAGAACAGGAAGCTAAAACTTAACAGAGCTTGGGAAATGTGTTGTCTTTTTTCCTCTAGCAAGTGATTGGCACGTTATTCCACTGCCAGTGCCCAAGGGGGAGGGGCCCCGGCCAAGGCTGCCCCTGATAAACATGTCCTGCCCTCCCATCCTGCCCGCAGGGACTACTGTCATGCGGATGACAGCCTTCGACGCAGATGACCCGGCCACGGACAATGCCCTCCTGCGGTATAATATCCGTCAGCAGACGCCTGACAAGCCGTCACCTAACATGTTCTACATCGATCCAGAGAAAGGAGACATTGTCACCGTGGTGTCACCTGCGCTGCTGGACCGGGAGGTGAGCTGAGTGGAGTGTTTTCTTTTTCGTGAGAATAGAATGTGTTCTCGCACAAGAGAAGGTGGGGGTCGATGGGACTTTCTGTGGTAAAGGCAGAAATGAGACGTTTCCCTGTGGTCCGGTGGAGAAACCTATAAAAGGAATTGGGATGCAGGGGGACAGGGCAAACACACACTCTCGGTGGCCCTGCCCCTCACAGCTGTTTGTGTTCTTCAGCCTGGTGCCTGTTCCTCTCCAGCCTCTGCTTCAGGCCCCTGTGATTCTGGATTCTATAGAAGGGAGAGGAGGGAGAGAAGGAAGAGGGTGACTCAGCTCAGGGTCACTGGGGCTGACCTTGGCGCCCAGACACACAGACAGCCTTGTCCCCCATCTGCTGTGGTGTCCCTGGGTCCCCCAGAGCCCCCCCTCTTTCTGCCTTCATGCTCTTGCCCCATAGACCCTCGGTGGACTCACCCACTGCCAGGTCCCACATCACCATCAGTGTCCTGGACCCGTCAGGCCATGGGCTGGCTCCTTGGCTTTGCCCAGAGTTTTAAAGCTTTTAGAATCAGTGGTTATACCAAAATACTTTGATTTCGTATTTCTTTTTAAAAATTCTTATTTCTGGGTGTTTTGAAATTCAAAACTCAAGAAACTACGGGCCCCAGTTTCCATGCACCATAATCAGTCACATGAGATGCAATGGTCACAGAGCTGGGAGTCACCTGTCCCACTGAGACTGAGCGCATGCCCCCATCCCCGCTTAAGTCCCTGCCTGAATGTGCCCCCAGCCCTGACCTCTCCTGAGCCAGGGTCACCCACAGCTCACCGCTGGGCACCTCAGCATGGAGCCCTGCGGCCTTGAGACACAGCGGACCTAACGCAACTGCTTCCCTGCCGGCCTCGCCCTCCGGCTCTGCTCCCCTCCTGCAGCTCACAGTCCTGACTTTGTTCCCCAGGCGTGGCCCAGGACTCACCCTCGGCCTTCCTCAAGCACTCTGGCTCTGTCGTAATCCATGCGCTTCCTGAATGTGCTGTGTGCATTTTCCCCTCTGTGTTTTGGTGGAACGCATCCAGGGGTCAGAGTATCTTTCTAGCTCCTTGATCTTTGCCTTTCTGGGCAGAGCTTCTCACAGGACTCTGGGTTAGACTGTGCCATTCTGAGAAGCCACCCCATTCTCTGTAGTCATCAGGGTCTTGTTTGTCCCCCACTCTCTGACTACGTGTGCCTGTGGCCATCAGCGCTTCACACTGTAACTTGTCTCTTTAAAGAATATCCCCTTTCTCTAGAGCTCAACTTGTATTATCCAGTAAATAATAACTGCTCATATGGTTAAATTCTAATTTATATTCACTGAAATTAAAATGTACAGGTTGTTCCCTTAGCCACACTACCCTGTATCAGGTGTCCAGTAGTCACACCTGGCTAGTGGTAGCTGCAGTGTACAGCACAGACAGGAACACTCAACCTTCACAGAAGGTGCGGTGGCAGTGCTGGCCTGAGCGATGCATGTCCTCATGTGCATGTTCGCACCCCGCTGCCTACCACAGTTTGAGCATCTCTAAAAATCCTAATTATACGTCTGTTAGCATAGAGGAAGAAAAGCAGGAATGACTTGGAAATGACTCTACAATTTTACACTTAAGGGGTAGGAGTCAGTAGATAGACATGGAAAATTATCAAAAGGGAGAGAGAAAAAATGCATTATACTGTGGTTGTCATCTGGAAAATATAGTTGTTCCTAATTTTTTTAAGAGAAAAATATTAAGCCCAATTCCTTCATTTTCTCCTTCTTTCATGACTGCCATGTTTTGTTCTTCAGAGGTAAGTGTGATTTACAGTGCCGTCCGTCTTCTCTGTCCAGCACACTCGTGTATGCCTGGGTACACACATGCACACACACACAGTCACACATACATCAATACACCAACCCCTCCCAGAGGTCCTACAAGTCCTTTCCTTGGGGGAAGAACATATACCATGATTTCCCCATCTCAGCTCCTCTGTGTTCTGACAGCAAATCTTCTCTAAGTCTAGTTATAAACCCAATTGGTCATATAGGATATTGGTCCATGTTTTAAGTTTACTTGGGGGACAAGAATATTTCCAGCTCATGATTTTCTCATGTGGGCTTTAGGGAAGTTATCGTAAGTGTGTCATTATGGGAGCTGAATTAAGCATTTCCAACCACAATACAGAAACAACCCCCAAGAAAAGATAAACGCAATTTAACTGAAATTGGAAAATCAATGGAAATGAATGAAGAGTGTCACTTTTCAGTGAGGGTTTCCAGAGTTCAGTGCTGATCCAGGCAACACTGGCACAGTCTTCGGGAGAGCAATGTCGCTTCGTCTCGCAGGCCGGCTGTTCCGGTACTGTGCTATGCAGCTCCTCTGCTCTTCGCTGAGCTGCAGAACTTGGCTCCTTGACTTTAACTGGGCAGCACGTGTGCATTGTGTTTCCTGCAGCATTGCTCTCAGTTTGCGATGTCCTCCTCTCCCTGAGCCCCAGCTCCTCTGCTAGGATCCCCCCACACGTGCCAGGGTCCTGCCGCAGAATTGGGGCTTACTTTGAACTGTCGTTTCAGGAGAGCTACTGACAGGTGGCCTGTCCTAATTGTGGCTCTGAAAGTCCACTTCTGGGCTGGCCAGGGTACACAGGACAGAGCTGTGCACCCTTTATTTGTAGGAAAGGATTTTATTCAGGCCCCTATGGGCTTTGGTGGCATTCACGTTGATTTTGAGTTTGGCTCCCTTTCCTTCTTTCAATGCCTCAAGTGACACGAGAGATCTTTGGCTGTGGTGAGTGTAGACAAGTAAGTCAAGACTCCTGTGAGGATGGTGGCTTCTAGCTGTGCAAACACGTTGCTTTGACCCCCAGCCCTGCCTGAGTGAGGGAACAAAACCAGCATGTGTGCCCTGCTTGGTGAAAGTTGAGGCTTCAGAAGGCCCATGGTTCACAGGAGCTCGGTTGATAATGAGGTGCATTTCCTTTCATGTGTCCATCTCCCAGGGGACCAGGCAGGAGGTGTCTGCTCAGGGGAGAGACAGACTTGACAGTGACACGGGGCGGCTGTGGGCACTGAGCAAATGCTTTGAACTTGCCTATTCACCTTCCTGTCTTCCACATTGTACTTTGTCATAGAGCCGTGGTATGACAGTGAGGTGCAATGGTGGGGAATGATCTTCCACACATCACCAGCTAAGTCATTGTCCTTTCTTCTTCCCACCTGCCTCCCTCCCCAGAAGTCTCACCTGGGGTCAACAGAGACAGATGCCTTCATCTGATCTGCTCGTTGCCATGTCCCATGGTTCAGGCAGAGAGGGATTCTGGCCAGCCTGCTTCCTGACACATTCCCAGTCCCTAGCATGTGAGAAATGGCTGAAAAACTATTTGTTGAGAGATAAGAGGAAGGAACTGAGAGACAGAAAGTGGAGACTGAGCTGCGAGGTCAGCTGAGGTGCCTGTTGATCCCCCTACCTGTCAGAAGCTTGGCAATGTAGACGTCATGTTTCCCTTGGGAGACTGGGACATTGTCCAGGACAAAGTCATCCATGTACTTTCTCTGAAACTTTACTGGAGCAGGCCCTACCTGAAGCAAGGGACCTGGGATCTTTGTCCTGACTATGTGTTGCCACTGCCACATATAGTATAGTGCGGATACGTAGGAGACATTTAGTGAAGATTTGTTGAGTGGATGGATGGATGGATGGATGAACTGATGGACCGATGGAGTTGTGTTCTTTCAGTTTGTATTATCTCTGAGCATGCTACAGATTCCATGTTATAGCATGGTGATATAAACACAAGAAATTATTTTAGTTAAGAGCTTAGTCTTACTCTTGTGTAATCATTCATTTATTTAGGTTATTTGCCTAATACCTACCTTGTGCCAGGAACCACACTAGCCTCTAGCAAGTAGTTCATCCTTTCACCTGGTGAATAGGATGCTGATGAGGATCTGTGCCTCTTGCTTAAATATTTGGGAAAATGTTTGGAGAAAATAAGAGCCATATATCCTACTCAATGAAATTGGGTTCATTTGGGGCACTATTTTATTCTTTTCTATAGCCATATTTAGCCACTGTATTCTGGCAGCTCTGTCTATGTTTTTAAACTATGTCTGGCTGCACTACAAAATGAAATCAGATAAAGGTCTCTAACGTTTGATAAATGGTTTATTTAGTTGATCGTCTTGGCTGCTAGACTGAAATTTATCAGCAGAAATCTGCCAACTTTTCTGAATGCAGCCACAATTTACAACTACTCAGAGTAGCTAATGGTCAGGATATTTTTGCAAATGGAAATAGTTTTCAAGAGAGACCCTTAAAAAATGATCCTCACATTTGCATTATGAAAGTATCATTTGTCTTTTTAAGGAGCTGGAACTGAACATTTTCCTGTCTTTGTTTGAATTTTCCTTTATCTTATTATGTATTATCTCCCAGATAATCTAAGGAAGGTGATAGCCAGTCCATAAAAATGTACATACAGTAAAAGATACCAGGAATGTGAATGCTAGTTACTTTCTATTTTGTGCTTATAAGGATTTTCTGAAACTTTATAATGCCCAAATTTTAGGTCAAATGAGAAAAATTGAGAGAATTTTCATTTTTCTTTCTATAGCAGTGTCATGTGAGGATTTATTATTAGATTCATGTTTGTTTATTTGCTATGGGATATTCAGGGGTCCTTGAATATGTCACAGAAGAAAATAGAAGAATATTAAGGGCACATGTATGCAAAGAAGCCAGTGACTTCATAGATCCAGTTGCAAGTCAGAAGATAATTCTGATTTGGTCAGAATCATCCAGGTTTAAAATATTCCACATAAGGTGCATTTCCAGAAACATACTAGAAACTGCAAAAATTATATCAAATCAAGTTGCCTGAAAAAATACTGGATAATATTTTCCTCACATTCCTTGAATAAAAGTTAGAAGTAACAGTCATATTCTTAGGGAAATAAATGTTTTGAGGCCGCTCTAATCTAATGCTAATACATTTCTCCTTATCATCA